AATGGTATACGAGCTTGCCTTGTAACCAGAAGGTCCTGGGTTCGAACCCAGGTGGGTGCGTACTGATGAAGAGTCCCAAAATAGGACGAAACAGCTTTCCAGTACGCCCAGGTTTTCCAATGGTTCTCTAACCAATTTCAGCTCATGATGAAATCCTGTAACAAAACAAAATTGTTCATATGAACTGTGATCAAGATTTGACCGGATAGTTGCAAAATTGATTTAGAGTGTCAAGTGGGTCGAGTGAAATAATACCGGAAGCAGTTCACAGTGAGAATAATAGTAGTCATAGCAACCGGCATAATAATGGAAGGATATACGAACTCAATGAACAAAATCAAAACTGAGTAGAGACAAAATATGAATGAGGATTATCATACTTTAGCATAGACGCATAAAGATCAGGAGGCTTGGAGGGGCTGAACAGACTTTCCCCGTATACAGAGATATGGCCTATCTATTTCGATGGCCATAGCTTCTGCAGTGCAGATGAGTCGGATACGTAATGATTTCAGCAGGTTATCTCTTGCCTTGTAGACGATTTTGAAGATGGAGGCTGTAGAGATAGGGTGATCATTATCGAGCAAATGTTCAATGATCACATTTCTTGTAGCCCCACTCCCAACTCTTGTAAACCACACAGGATGGTGTTTTCACACCCTCTTGGACAAAACTCGGGCTGAAAAACCGATATACCTAACTCCATAGGAGCTAGTGAGCTGACGAACTCACATAGAGTTGATCAGCTGTGAGATCTTGTTCTTGAGGTTATTGATCAGTAATAGTCGACTATAAAACGCTAATGAAGGTCTATTTTGCGCTTTTCCAATCCTGATTGGCTCTGACCTCCTCATCCCTGCCGCATGTAGTTGAAACAACTCTTTAAATATTCCCATTATAAATATTCTAACAAGACATTTAGGCGAACAATATTGCTGTTTTCAATTAGATCTTCTTCAGGCCTTACTCTGATTTGTATAGATTTACACATAAAATTTTTAGCCCATGACGGTGAGTTTGTGGATCAAATAATAACAATAATGTGATAGATGTTTAGTTGAATTTTTTAGATTTTCCCGTCGACTGATTGGACCGAAGTACTCGATATCAGGTTGACATGTCGGCTTCTTTTGCAGAAGTTTCGACTATGTCTGGGCATGTAGTTAGAGGTTAATTGGTGGATGGTGACTAGCAGCGGAATCCAGGATAACGCGCATTTCGTCCTATTTGGGACTCGTTGGTGGCTGGATGTACCTGCATTCCCCAGTGAGTGATGATGTTCCCACCGAGGCTCGAACCCAGTGCCCATAGTGCCCAAGTGGTCTAGTGGATAACACTTTGGCGTTTGAAACTATGGGCACTGGGTAA